CTATCAGGACCCCCAGTTCCTTTTCTGCCAAGCTGCTTTCCAGCTGGGTGGTCCCCAGAATATGTTGGTGCCTGGTACTGTTATTCCCCAGGCTCAGGACTTCACACTTCCTTGTTGAACTTCACAAGGTTCCTGTTAGCCCATTTCACCAGCCCCTGAAGGTGGCAGAATGACCTTCTGGTATATCGGGCACTCCTCCAGTTTTGCGTAGTCAGCAAACTTGCTGAGGGCACACTCTGCACCATCATCTAGATCATTAATGAAGATGTTAAACAGGACTGAACTCAGTATTGGCCCCTGGAGTATACTGCTAGCTACTGCCCTCCAAATAGACTTTGCACCTCTGGGCCCAGCCATTCAGCCAATTTTCAATCCACATCACTGTCTGCTCATCTTGGTGAAGCCATGCTGATTACTCCTGATGATTTTCTCATCCTTAAGTGGCTGGAAATGGTTTCCAGGATTAGCTTCTCCAACACCTTCCCAGGATTTGAGGTGAGGCTGACTGGTCTGTAGTACCCCAGGTCTTCCTTCTTGAAGACAGGAATGATATTTGCTTTCCTCCAATATTTGGGCACTTCTTCCAGTCACCATGATCAATCAAAGATTATTGAGAGTGGTCTTGCAGTTACATCTGCCAGCTCCCTCATTGCTCCTGGGTGTGTCCTGTCAGGGCCCATGGACTTGCACAGGTAGCAGATACAGAGTCAACTTAATTAACGAAGAACAACATCTCCATCAGTGATACAGATTTTTTTGTTTGAAATTACCATAAATAATGAAGGCAGCTAATTGTCTCAATACCTTAGGTCACAATCTCTACCAAATGACTGTCTCTGCCTCCTTTCAAAAATCAATAACCTATCATTTCCTGTTTAAATTTTACATCTCCTTAATCTTAACTTCTCTGAATAATTGTTTAATTCCCTATGTGTCATAGTTATGAATAATTATTTCAATTTCTATAAGAAAATAATTAATTTCACTTACCACTCCATCTTTCCTGTGAGATTGCCATCTGTAATCTAACTTTTTTAGAACAGTTTTACCCTGCCTCAGAGGTTAGTTGTTATTGTAAGAGCTTGGCAGGAGATGCGGTGATACAAAATTTGGGGAGGGTGCAGGTGGCTCAGTTCAGGCTTATGAACATCAAAACGGTGTCTCCCTGTGGCGGTCGCAGGTGTGGGCAGTTGGTGGATGAGGTGGGGTTGTTCTGTCCCTTGAGCTACGGGTAAGTTGGATTTCTCTGCTGAAAGCTGAGGTAGTGGTCAGTGACATGGTGCTTAAGAGGCAGTGGAAGTTGTAAGTACAGGAGTCCTGTTGGAGAAGAAGGCTTGTCCTGGGGGAGCATGTTCCTCCTCTCTGAGAAGCTAACTTTGGGCAAAGTGGGAGTGGAAGTAATACTCAGCTATAGGCAGTTTTAAGTGGATAAACTTTTCGGTATGTATGGCACAGGGAAGCATGGATCTTTAGAATATTGTGCATAAAAGTAGGAACTATGTAGACAGGTTGATATGAAATGGGATATTACTGCATCACTTAAAGTTTATTTCAGGAAACCATATGTAAGCTTTCTTTAAAAATGGTTCAGGAGAAGGCAAGAAAAGCCATTGTCATCCATATACAAATGTTTTCTATTTTTTTAATGTAAATTATGGGGTTTATTTTTAGAAGAAGTTAGGTGAATTTTTACAACCATGAAATGTTATAGAAACAGCTCTATTATATCCTGTTTCATAAACAGGTGAGTTTGCCTGAAAATTATTTGCAGCTTAAGAGTAAGTTGTACTACTTGTAAAAATAGAAAAGTTTGGAAATGACAGAAACCAAGTGATTTGGAGCTAGTGAAAAAGGTACCATTTCAGGGAAAACTTGAGCCAAATAGAAGTGCCTTTTCTTGCTGAACAGTTTCAAAGCACAGAATCCCTCAACCAGGCCTAATAAAGAAGCCAGTGTCTCCTGTACATCAGTGTGAGAGCCCTAAAATGAAAGAGACTCGCTAAGAATGCAATAAATCATATTGGATCATTGCACTAATGAACAGTTTGGGCCCAAACTCTCATTAGCTTGTCTGCAGGAAGAGAAAACTAGTAAAACAGGAAAAGGGCATATGAGAAAAGCTCTTTGCTGGTACTATATTAAGCTTTTATTGTTGAAGGACACCCTTTAGCTAATTTCAGACCTGTTAAAAACAAAAATCTGTTTGGTGATTAGAGCAGAAAGCCCAAGTGAATAAAACCATAAATACCGAAGTCCTTGGAATAACAGCCTATAAAACTGTCAAAAAGCATTGCTTAAGTGACAAAAGATAGCCTCTGGTAACTAGAAGCATCAGCTCTGTAGGCACTAATTCATATTCATATATGGAAGGCATATTTTTAGTTCCTTCTGAAAAGAAAAGTCTTTTCTGTTAATAATGTTCATTCTTATGTTTAAAGCAGCTGTTTCCTCTGGACGCTCTCAGCCCAGATTTCTTAAAGTGAAAAAAGCTAGGTTTAATTTCCAATACTTAATAATTTTAACATTTAAGCTAATCTGTATTTCTTGGAATAAATTTTCAGATAGGGCTGTTTAAGGAAATAATGTAAATTCTTCCAAGAGGCATTAAGAGCCCTTTTTAAAAGAGTATGGATGATCATTTGCGTTTCACTGGGACTTTATGGTTTGGCTTCTCAAAGTGATCCTGCTAAAGCAGAGTAAAATTTTTACCAGGAAGATATAACAACTTTATATGTATTCATATCCATTCCGGCTTGTGATCCTCTTTCAGTTAGTTAATGCTGGGAGACAATTTTGACATAGAGGACTTTTACTGGTGTTTGCATGCCTTATAACATGAATGAGATCAGGCCTTTTCCCTTTTTTAATTTCCAGTGAACTGGTTCAAAAAAAAGAAGTGAAGTTTTAAGTGACAGATATCTTCATACCTGTGTGACTTTTTTTTTCCTAGTTTTAGCACTTCTTCAAGTATTTTAAACTGAATATGATAGTCGTTTAGTGTTTCTCACTTTTTTAAAGGAATGGATTTTATGTAAGTTAAGGTTCACGTTGAAATCAATAAAGGAAAAATACAGTTAATGGAAATCTGCAGAACGCTGTTGTAAGCTAATAATTTTGCTACAGAAAGCAGAAAGTGACAGATAAACCAAATGTTTAAGAGTAACCTGAAGCTGGAAGACTGAAATTAGTTTCCAGAATGGTGATGTCTTTAAAGTTTGCATTGACTCTTGCTTTTCATCAGTTCAGTCTTTTTCATGTTACCATAATTATTTTACAGCTAAAAATCTTGTATTGTTTTGCAAAAGTTCAAGCAGATAAAAGTTTTTTTCAGAATTACTTGATTTTTGAAGCAGTGTCCAATGATGCTGCAATGTCTTCCAAAAAGTTCTGATGCTGTTGAGCATGTAAGAATCTCTCTCTCTGTAATCGGAAATGTGTTGTGTTGTTGGTTGCATTGGGTTTTCTTGAACAGGGTTGCTTCACCATTATACAGGCTCTCTATACACATGCAGTCAGGTGCAGAGTCTGCATTTTGACTGTGTACCTGTGAGAACTGGAGCTGGTGGTGTTGATTTGAGGAAGGCAGATGTTAATGGTGTTTTTCTCAAGCATTCTGTTGCCCAAATAGGAATCTCTTATTGTTAGAAAAGGCAATAAAAGGCTGTAAGTCTGCCTACTGAAAAGGCAGCAAGTGATTTATGGAGAAAAAGCAACTATTAGGCTTAAGCAGCCTGTGTGTGAGTGAAAACTGAGTTTTACAGTGACTGGATATTACTGCTGCTGTTTTTGATAACAATTTAGTTCTAACTTAATCATGAGGGATATTGTACAGGCAAGGAGAGTCAGAAGACTTTCCTTAGCCTGGATAACATGTCACGATGACACAGTTGCATAAAATTTAAAGTGTAAGCAGGTTTTCTTTTCAATAGTAGATTTCTAGATAGTTACTTCCTAACCTTATTTTGACCGTTCCTTCAGTATGGACATTTCTTTCTTGTTTTATGTACTCTATTAGCACCCACTGTGCCTACATACCAGGTGCGTTCTTTGTCTCGTGCACATAGATGAGTGTGCAACTCTGTACTGACACCCATGCAACTTCAAGCCAATGAGCCTAAGAAACAGCAAAAAAGTATATGGAGACGTGCAACATGGCAACAGGAAGCAGGAGTTCTCAGTACAACCCTCATAAGCCATAAACACTATGAGAAAAAATATACAGAATTTTTAGATGAAGTAATAGGCCTTTCTCAGTAATTTTATAGAATTTTGGAGAAAAAAAATCATACATTTTAAACAATAGTGGAAAAACAAAGTATAGAACTGTTTGTTAAATGATGTAAACTGATTTTAACAACTCTGTTTTAAAAACCTAGTTCTCTTTTGTAATCTGTGGGTTCCAGATAATTTCTCTGTTTAACAAGGTGATCTTTCTGGTTCAATTACTATCACAATCTGTAGAGTCTTAATACACATGGGAAAAGTAGGGATGAGGAGAAGTCCAGTAACAGCAGAAAAGTTTGTTTTGAACCCTTGTCTTAAGACTTATTTTCTAAGGAAGAAGAAAGAAAACTCTCTGAGGTTTTCTGGCATGTAGTGTGGTCTGATCAGGGCTTCTGTTTTTCAAATCTATTATATCATTACTAATTTGGAAAATGTTGCAACTACAGTATGACAAGGACACAGGAGCCTTAGGTCTTCTGAAAACTCATTTAGATTCTCACATTGTATAGTTTTTTAAGCAAGGTGTTGAACTTCTTGTTAGGATATGGGCTTTAGTAAAGAACTAGGCATGAAGTAGTATTGTGTGTGCATGTTGAGTGCATAGTGGTTTCCACAATGCTTGCCTCACTGACACTTGAAATAAAGATCCTTGAGTATTCTTCTGTTCCATAGTTCTTTTTTCTTGGCAGCATGCCCTAGGCAGTAACTAATGGTAAGAATTTTAGGCAAAAATGTTTCTTGCGATGTTATTTATTTTCTTCTTTTTTCCTTTTAAGTCTGAACAGCCCAGTCCTGCCAGTTCCAGCTCCAGTTCCAGTTCCAGTTTTACACCATCTCAAAACAGCAGACAACAAGGTACCAACAAAGGAAAAGAAACCGAAAGGAATGTGTGAAATGAAGGGGCCAATAAGAACAGAATTGGTGGCATCTCATTACCACTTTTCTGCTGCCTTTCACAGCCTGAACTGGCCACAGTTTTGCTTTAGAGATTTTTTTTTTTCTCAGGTTGTTTTCAGATGTGGCTGTAAGGGCAAAATAAAAGGGGAGAAAACATCTATCTGAGAAAAGGGTGTGAAGTGTATTTGTTTTGAAGCACTAAGTACATGCACTTAGCAGATGCTAAGCTCAAAAGAGCTTCTGTTTCTGAGGTTGTCCTTTTGCAGGGTTAGGTAGGGTGGCACCTGGCTCCATCTGAAGCCCTGCTCAGGAAAGTGTGGCTTCCCATGCAAAGCCCTAGGATGTCCATGTGGACCCTTCAAAGGGCCCTGATTTTCCCACACTATTGGGAAATTTTAAGAGCACACAGTATTTACTTTAGATAAATGGCAGGGGAAGATGATGGTTAGACCTAAAGTTGACTTTAAGTTTGTGTTTTGGTTTTCTGGCTAATAATTACCATTTACTTGGAACTCAGTAAAGAATTGCATTTTTCTTCTCAGGGAAGTTGCCAAAGCAGGTTTTCAGTAAATAAGTAGAGATTCATTCTACATGACCTATTAAACTACTTAGTTCCTGCTTGGCCTTTTTCCCCGAGTTTGTAATATTGTATTGTACAACTGATACATTCTTAATCAGCTTTTCTTTTGTTCTTTGGATCAGGAACATTTAAAAAGCAGCTTTTAACTAATTAAAATTGCATTTGTTTTATCCATTTTCATTCCTCAATGTTAGACTTGATTTAAGGTTATGAAAATATATTAGTACCTCAAGCAGACAGCTTGTTTTTAAGTAGACCTATACATGATGCATATCTGTCCTACTGCCTTCTGTAGGTGACTGGTACTGATTTTCTAATGTGTCCTGGCAGCATTACTCCAGGTGAAAGAAAGCAAGAGCTAAAGTGAACTGTGGTTTATGACTGGCTTCAGGCATTTGATTTTTACCTAAGGCTAAACAGAACCCCTTCTTGCTGAAACCCCATTTGTGATCTCATGAAAACCTCATCAGTAGTTTGAACTGTCCATTGCAAGCCAAAGGACTTGGATACCCATTCCTGTATCTGTTATCTTATGCTGAGCAAAACCTGTTGACTTAATATTTTCTTCTGAGCAGACTGGATTCATCCACCTCTTCTGGGTCATATATAAGTCATATCACAGACTGTCTTTCAGTTTTTTGTACCTTCTCAAAAATAGATGGGATGTGAACAACTCTGAAGTGCAAGTGTTATATAAGTTTCCTCTTTCTTGCCACAGTACATAGTGAAAACTGCTTCTTTCTTGCTCTTGGGCAGCTCCTAGTTTTCATTTTCTCCTTAACTATTCTGACTCTGTGGGAGATAACCCTTAAAAAAGTTGTGATAGGTTTAAATTAAGTGTTAGCAAGGAGCAGAAGATTAACAGTGACATCGCCATCAGTGCTAGAAACAAAAGACCTAAAAATTAATGCTTTGCTCATTGTTAGGAAAGTCTACTGAAAAAGTTAGCTAGCTGGGTACAGAATGCCTATTCGGAGTCCCAGACATGGTCCTAAATTAAATGAAAACTTGTCTGGATGACAGGTTGTTCAGTGCATCTGGGGTTGTCAGTGATGGATGTTTCTCCAGAGTCAAGTTCTTTTTCTCTAAGAAAGAGGAATAAGCCTATTGTCAGCTTGAGACTGGACTGTCCCAGAACACAACAAGGGGGTAAAATGGCCCTCTGCTATACGTGGAAAAAGGACATAGGCAAGAATAATGAGTTGGCTTAAGCTTTGGAGAGCAAGCTGTCTAGGGATCATGAGGAATGTATGCTGGTTTTCTTTCTACTTCACTTTAAAAATAAAATCAAGGACTGCTTCTTTGGGTGACTTGTAAGCATAGCTACCAGTTTTCATGTTGTGGAGTTACATGCTGGTGTTTTGCGCAAGATCATACTAAATTTAATTACAAAATTAGGATTTGTTTTATTATTTTACCTTTCCTCCCGCTGACCTTTTCCTCTGCTCTTTCATCAAGATTATGACGATACTTTCCTTTCATTTGTCCTTTACCAAGTCTTTTCTGTCATTTTCTTCCTCCTCAATGTTGTGGAGAAGAAACAAATCCATTCCCAGAAGCTGACTTTTTTGACTTTGGAGTGGCGTGAGACTCTTCTGCTCTCAGTGCAGACAAAGATGACTTTCTTCACTAGGACTTTGATGGTAATTCTTAGTGTCTTTGCCCAGTAAGGTGTGAGGAAACTAGCTTTTCTAGCTAAGCCTAGCCCATGGAAATACCTTTGTGTTCTACCCTTCTGTCTCTCTTGAAACATGGAATCTGTCTTCATATATTTATTATTTAATTATCTTTTCCAACACTTTATCTCAATTAATTTAGCTCTCTATGCCGTGTCTCTCATTCACCCACTTCAACAGTCAAGCTGGCCGATAAGAACGTTTTCCAAAAGATCAAAATGAGCAAATTCTTCCTTCATCCCTGTGCTGACGCTGTGGAGAGTGCCCTCTCTTTTAAAGGGAGTATGTTTATTACTTCTCCTATTAAAAGCCAAGGAAGGAGTCCTTTCCCTCCATCAAGGGTCAGTTGATGAGATATTCAGTCAGACTACAAGTTTCCATTTGCAAATAACTGAACAATGTCTGCCTGAGACCCAAACAGGAAGAGAAAATAGAGCACAGATCAGCTGCTTTCTGCAGATCAGCAGTGGTTGCATGGACAAGAAGCACGTCGGTATAGCTCCCTTTTCCTTGTTGCTTGTACAAGTGTCTGGTCCACCAGGAATTTGCCCATCAGCACCATCTGGGCTTCTTCTCAGCCAACCTTAGGGTGTAAAAACAGAGAAAAGAAACCATTGAGCTGAACCTACCCAAACTTTGACAATTTATGAAAGTTCTAGTGCAATTTTAGTGGTAAATCATTCTCAAGTCACTTTGAAGTCACTTTCACAAAACTAGTCAGAATGCCTGTGACCTGAGCCTTGCTAGGTCTGGAATAATGCATAAAGCCATTCCTCCCAGGAGGGGAACACCCTTCCCTGTTAGTAGTATGACCCTGACAGACAGAGGTCTGTCTTCTCTTCTGGCAGTGACCAGGGATGACACTCCTTGAGTCTGTTTCCCCTTTAGCAAATAGGGAGTTTCAAGCTTCATCTCCATTTCAAGAACATTCTGAGGTTCACTTTGTTCACATTAGTACTTTGTGTTTCCTGGGCAGGAGGAATTACAGAACTTTAAGAGTAATTGCTGTTCCTGCAGCCATCACTGTTGCTTTTACTTGGTGTTTTATGTCTCAGATGGGCTGTACTTCAGAGATAAATGCCCTGTGGCATCAGTCTTGATTCCATCCCTTTTCTAAGCTGATTTTGCCCATCCTTATTTCAGGCAGCTGTAGTTTTACATTTCCTGGATACGTTAAATATATTCCTCTTTCTGTAGCTGTCTCTTAGGGCACAATAGATTGAGTGAAATCAATTTAATGCAGTTTTATGAGCAAGTCAAGCTTTCTACCTTCTGTTAATTCACGAAAAGAGATAGCATGGTGTTGATTGGTATTGGTGCAATTTTTAAATATGAACATCCATTGGCAAAGTACTTACTTGACCTGAAACTTACCCTGAAATAAAGGGAACAGCTAAAGCTAAATATATAAAAAACAGGAAGAAAAGCCCTGCCTTGGCTAGTACATATTAGTCAGAATGATTTGTTAGATTCTACTTCTCAGTACATGGATTAACCTAACAAATGTACTATCACTGATCAGGATGTCCCTGTAGATCTTTACTCGTGTATGATACCCTTTGAGAAAGCAAAAAAATCTTGCTTCTAATAATAATACACTAATAAATTTCTTCTAGCATGACAGGATTTTACTTACTTCAGCTATGGTCCAGGGGGCCAATCGTGCACACACTTGTGAACATACGAGTCACTTCTCTGTCCTGAGTAAGTTTATTGAAGCTGAGTTGTATGTGAGTAAATGATTCATGGATAAGTCCTTGCAGCATAAGCCCTCAATGCGTTACTTCATTTGTTTGATGTTTAAGATTTTCTCCTCCCAACACTGTGTGGGAAGGGTAGTTTTCTATCATCTACAAAGCTGAGTGAATTGCTTGGAACATTGCAAAGTGAATTTCATTTGTGTATTTTATTGTCTTTGTTGTTTCAGGTCCATTGAGGTCTATAATGAAAGATCTGCATTCAGATGATAATGAAGATGAATCTGATGAAGCAGTTGAGAATGACAATGATTCTGAGTTAGAACGACCTGTGAATACACGAGGAGGAAGCAGGAGTCGCAGGTGAGTGTCATGTGATTGGAAGTAGCCTGGTGGCAAAGAGTTGTGCCTGTTAGTAATGAGGCGAGGTCTAATAATCTCAAAGAGCACTGAGTAGCAAATGGGCAGAGAATTCAGACTCTCTTTTTAAAGCATATGCATGTAAAAGTGCCTCTCCTAAAAACTAACCAAATCAACCATTCCCAATACAGACTATTTCTGTACTAATCCATATGGTTATGATGATTCTCAGTTCTTTTAACTTTCCTTGATTTCATGCCATTGTGATTTCAGGGAAGTAGTCATAATTACTCTCTGGCATAAGTGAGGTGAAAGTAAGTCCTTCAATTGCTAGATGAGCTATTCTGTACATAGTGTCTCGTTTTCAAGATCTCTCTGCCTACCAGTTTTAGATTATGTTGTTAAATTGGATCAGAATCAATGACATTTGAATTTCAAATAATTTCTACACTGCATGCAGTACGCAGTGTGTAAAAGTGCAGACAGAAGGTAAAGCAAGCAACTGCCACAGATACTACTTTTTAAAAAAAGCTTCTTGTACCGTAGCTGCAAACTTAAGAGGGCATTCAAAAAATCATCTCTTCTCTGGGCAGTTTGAAGCTCCATCTGAATGTTGTTGAAGGTTATGAAAAACCTGAAACAATCTCTCTCAAACCTTTTCATAGTGGGCTCTTTATGTGATCTACAGGGTTTTACTGTTAGTACACAGTACTTGAGTTCCAGTATCAGCTACTGCTTAAATAAGAAGGTAATAAGAAAACATGAATGAATGTCAGCTGCTCTCGTGGTGCACTTTAGCAGCTGGAATCAAGGAAAAGACCACCAGGGTGACTAGCAATTTGAGAATTCATTCATGTCAGTGATTGTGTAAAGGACTGACTCAAGCTCAACTTACCTCTTGTCTGGAGGTAACTTACCAACTTACCAAAGTCTGGAGATTTTGTTTAAATTTTTTAACAAAACTTTAATGCTCATGTTTCTCTGCCTTCATTTTATCCCAAATAACTATTTTTTTTTCTTCCAACCAATAAATATTCCTTGTTGTTCCTAAGTAAATGAACAGTGAGAGTGACTAGGAGCTGAGCTTTTTCGTGTGGCCTCTCCTGAGATAGTGTTTAAATTGTAGCCAGGAAAAAGAGTGGTATTTATGACTAGAAACAAGGAACTTTTCAGTGAAAGACATGTCCGAGTGGGAAATACTTCTGTTTCAAAAGCTTTTAGAAGAGCAGAAGAGTATCTCTAAAAACATTTTCCTCCTTCCATGTGGCTTATGGACCAAGATACGGACTTGCTCCAGGAACGTTGGAAAGAGCAGCTTAATGTTCTAAATATTTAGCCATTTCTGTAACCTTAGCTACTGTTCACCAGAGATGTCATCTCAGACCAGTGCAGGCAGACAACCTCGTTCTCCATGCTGCGCAGAACTTTTTCCAAAATGCGGACCTGCTCCGATGCCTCTCTTCCACTGGACCCTTATTAATGACAGCTTGCTTAGCGAGGGGTCATTCTTAGTGGCCTCTCTCAAAGTGCAAGCTTGGTTCACCCCTGTTAACAGCCTGTTGTCTGGAGGTGTAATCTCTTGGCTCTGTTTTTCCACAGGGTTAGTCTGAGTGATGGCAGTGACAGTGACAGCAGTTCAGCTTCCTCACCACTACATCATGAACCAGCTCCACCTTTACTGAAAAACAACAGCAACCAGGTAAAGTCAGGATTCGTAAATGCAGTCCTGGGGAAATGAGTAATGACATTCTGATTACTTCAGTGCAGTTACTTAGTCTGTAAACTGACATAAGAGCTGTTTTTTCCTTTTCAGAAGGAGAAGTGTTTGGTTCAGCAAATAGTATAGACCAAAGTAGTGTTTTCTTCAGTATTTTAAAAAATGTGTCCTTTCTGTATGAATTAACTTTGTAAGTTAAACAATGAAAACTAGCATTACAGCATCAGTCATGCAATTGGAACAGGTTTGGTTTTGTGTTAGCAGTGGACCCAGTTCACAGCAATAGGCTCATTCTCAGGAGTTTATTCATTAATCTCTTCCCCTTTCTCCCACCAAGTGCTTATCTAGAAGATACAATATTTTTTACTTCACTAGAAGGCTCAATAGTTTTTATTTTACTAACAGAGTACTTGTTCCATATCCATAAGAGCTAATATTGTTATTATTTTTGATGTAGGAAAGTAGACTAGTTCTGTTTTTCAGAGAAAATAAACTAAACAATCTAGAGCTACAAAATACATCAGGGACAAAATAAGAATTAGAGTTTGGGAGTTACCTCACCTCCAGTAACCAATAAAGTGAGGCTCTGTAAATATAAAAATTAAACATAAAAGTTGATATTCTTTGGAAAAAAAAATATAAAATACATCATTTGTCTCTTATTTTAGGGAGCCATAATTCACTCCCAGTGTCAGCTGGATCATACACAAAGAAGTAATGAAATTTACTGACTGTCAGTAGATGGCTGTTTACAATATTGATACATTTTGAATAGTGTCTGGGTGTGTTAAAAGTCGTTTGTGGTTTAGATGGTGAGTTTCATGAATGAGTCTTTCCTGTATCTGTTAGGTGAACTGCTACAATTATCTGTCAGAAATTATTTACTTGTAATTGTTTTTTTTAATGAGATTTCCAATACAAGCTTACTGGTGCAAAACCATTATTATTCATGTCAGTTAAGTTCAAATACACTGTGGAGAAAAAAAAATAGGAAGTAGTTTGTATGCAGACAAGAAGATTCCATGTCCAGAAAGCATTCTTATTATCCATCAGAAACTCTGTAGGCTTTTCTAAGTTGATCTGTACAAAAGTAACAAGTTTTCAAGAGAGTCTTTTGGGAAAAAAGCAAGCTATAAATATGAAGAATATTGCATTTACTGGAGACAAAAGCACAAGAAAAATAAAACACCTGTCCGTGGCTTGTTGTTTAATGAAGACTATCTTCTACAGCATCATTATAATTATTAAGTAATTGTAAGTCTCAGTATCGGCAGCCTTCTCAGTCACATCTTTCATGTTTCTTTCCGCTTCAATGATCTAAGAGAAGGTCTTCCTGTGCATTCAGAAACTCCAAACAATAGCAGTGTGCCAGCTAAAACTGAATGTCACATACCTTCTTCTATTTCTATAACTGAGTGGAATTTTATAATCAACCTTAAAAATCAGAAATTTAACGAAGCATTATGAGAGTTCAAATTCTATAGACCTTAGCCACATTTGAAATCTCTGCTTGGTGGTGTAGTGCTGCTTGCCAGGATGATGCTTTCAGCTGATGAAATCAGGCTTGTGTTGACTTAGGTCCATTCATAGAACTAAAGAGCTAAGACAGAGTTAATATTTCTGTGAGCTTCCTCAGATGATATAAGTGCTGTGTCTTATATAAACAAGAGTGCTTAAGATGTTAGATTCCAACTACACATCAAGAGCACTGTAAGGAAGCAAGTTTTTAAAATATACTGTGTCCTTGCTAAGTTTCTATTTGAACAAGAATTTTCTTCCTTTTAAAAAAAGAAAAACATCTAAAAGGTACTGGATCCATGCCTAGAGGTCTGGGTTTTTTCAAAACAAGACTTTCTTCCACTGGCCTACACAGCAGTAACCCCCAGGGGGTGTTGAATTGAAGAACTGAGATTTTTCTTCAGAAAAATATGTTTTCCTTTCTGGCCATGCATCAGTCTTGGCTAAGTAAATCCTTATGTAAGGTTAACTCGGATCTGCAGTCACATTCTCCATATAGGGAAATAGATGCCTACCTACTGTATTCTTACGGTGCTGGTCACCCTGGGGAGCTTTTATGCAATTTTAGTAATTTAGACCAAGAGGAGTAGAAATGAGAGGGAGTTACAGAAAGCTGTTGGTGAGGCTTCTTGCTAGTCTAGAAGACTTGCTTTTACAGACCCTAATTCCTTGTTTTATTTGCTGAGTTTTGTCCTGTGTTGTGACTATCCAGTGTGTTTTTCAAGGTATTCGTGCTAGTGATGTTAGTCTTACTTACAATGAAATATGAAACAAAATCTGCCATCATCTGTGATCATTTATTTTCCTTTGATGTTTTTCAGAAGAACTGATCGTATTCTAGGTTAGCAATGATGGTGGTTTTGTTTTTTTTAACTCTACTTTTAACTTCAAAAAAATGTGTTGTGTGTGGAAAAATTGGAAGAACAATCAACAGTTGTTTCCCCAAAATATTCCTCACTTTAGTCCTAAAATTTTCATATTAAGCATGGTGTTCTGAAGCTTGTTGACATGCTCTTCTTGAGTGTTGTTAAGTACTGGTATATGTGGTAATAAATGGCTTTGTATGGCATTGAAGGAAGGGTACCATGTAAGTGCAAGAGAAATTACCATCAAACACTTTTCTTTTTTTTTCAGTTACAACTCATGTGGTCATTTCAAAGACTATGTTTCAAAATCTCTATTGTAGAAGAAAAGAGACAGCATTGGGGGAAAAAAAAAGAGGGGAAAAATACATTGATCATGTGACATTTCAAAGGCACTGGAGAGTACCTCAGCATCATTTTGTATCTGCCAAATCAGACCTCTTACCCTGCCACCATGCAAAAGATACAAAAAAGTGTTGAGGAGGCTTTAAATGACAAGAAATTAATTCTTTTAAGGGTTAATAATATCTATATCGCCTCATTCCAGCAACTCGGCATTTTCTGCTGTAAGCCGCTTTTTTTCTGATAAATGCAAGTAAGTTGTAGGGATTAAAGAATCAAAAGCTCAGTTTTGAGTTTTGATTCCATTTTCTCCAGATGTTACATTGTTTGTGTTGTTAACTGATAGCAGAATTTTTCATATGTAATTGAATCCAATGATGCATTTAATTTTTACAGAATTCTCTTTCTTTTCCAGATTTTAGAAGTGAAAAGCCCAATAAAGCAAAACAAATCTGATAAACAAATGAAGAATGGGGATTGTGATAAGGTAAATGAGAATGAGGTAACAGTAACTAGACCAGAATGTGATATTGGTGTATTTAGTGAACACCAACCTTTGTTACAGAATGAAAATCTTATCACATCTTTACTTTGGCTTCCTTTAGGTGCAGGTCTTTCTCTATTTTTTTTTTCTGTAATTCTTTCATCTTCTGTGCAATTTTTAAAGTGTTTTCCTTCTCTTCAATACGCGTTGTGATTTGGCAAATGTCACCAATTGGGAATCTGTTATTTCATCTACTGTCCACCAGTTTGCATTTTGCTTCACAGAGGAAGTGATAATTTTTGAAGAGGAGAATTCACAGCTGTATTCCTAGACAGTAAACAAATAAATTAAAAAAAATAATAATTGTTTTTTCCAGGATTGTTTCTGAAGGCTGTGCAATAGGAAGTGGCAGAGTGATTTAGGATTTAGTATGTTAACTAGAATGATATGAAGCAACAGTTACCAGTTAACAATGAGAAAGACAGTTTTGTTTAAAATCATGTCAGCTGGCCGTGGGTAAGAGCTCGAGGTCCTTGTATGAGTGAACAGAGCACAATTTCCCAAATTGGACGAGTTCCTCTGAAGGTTCATATTTTAAAAGGTATTGGTGTCAACTTTGTGATAACATGAGGCAGGACAACAAAGTTTCAGTATCTGTTGCTAGATTTTCAGTGGCCTGATCAATACGCTTTTTGGTTTCTTAAGCTGGGTGCCATATCTCTCTCTGCTTAAAAGAAAAAAAGGTTTCTGATGGCTCAGGCTGAAGGAGAAAGTTGATAACTAGATGGAGAGGTGGGCTGTGTTTGACATCCCAGGAAGGAGGACAGTAGAATTTACCATTAAATCTTGCTTGATCTTTCTCCCCTTATATCTCCTTGCTGACACAGAAAATTAATTATATAACTTTAGAGAAAAAGAGGGATTTGATTGTGAGGCTTTGGCTTTGGATATTATGTATAAAGGTGGGAAATGTATTTTTAAAGATGCTGTTTTGGCATCCCCAGTCTGTTTGACGCTTTTTCCCACAGTTGAGTTAGAGAGATTATTCTTCTACAGCAAAGAGCCACTTAATAAGATTTTCATCAGCATGAAGTACCTAAGAAAACCCACAAAACTTGTATTTGACATGTATTGAGCTAGAGAAAGCCAGACAACTAAATAAGAAAATTTAGCTTAAAGAGCTTTAAAATAAAGTTTCCATTTGTATTGTTTTTTAAGACATCTGAAGTTTTTGAAATACATACCTATGACTTAATTAACAAGTTGTTTATGGGGGGTTGTTTGTTTCTAGGCATATCTTGATGAACTAGTAGAGCTCCACAGAAGATTAATGACGTTGAGAGAGAGACATGTACTGCAGCAGGTGAGGAGTACTCTCATGTAATATCACAACGTGCTCATTGAAACTGTGAAGTCACATCTTTTTTTTTTTTTTTTGGCCATCATCTAAAACTCTGTAATCAGGTTTAATAGTCTTCAAGCGTATATAATGCATATACAGCCCATTACTACTTCCAGTACAGCTCAGGAAATTTTTGCACATACTTCAAATTGTGTTGTCACGCTAAACAATGAAATTACAAAAAAACCCCAAAACTATCTGAGCTAAATTTTTCATCAATTCATTGTTACATTTCTCAACATACTGTATCAATAATTATGAAAACAGGATGGGAGAATGGATACAGCTGTGTGCCATCACTTGATAAAAATCTTGTTTCTTTTTCCTGAAAATGACTGGTGTTTTCTCAGAAACAATTAAAGGTGTTTTCCATGGCAAACAGAAAATATAGAATTCAAAACAGAACTCATGTTGGGGAAAAACACAATGTATTCATTAAGTCTTCTGAAGTAATGGAATGAGTGAAATATGAAAATGTGCGAACCAAGAAGGCTCCAAATTTATTGAAAGATTCTGCAATAGTAAGAAAAAAGAATAGTATTCTTTACTTTGGACAGCATTGTCGGGTACTATGGGATTACAAATTGTGAAGATTAAACAATGAGCACGGTTTACAAAGCAGATGTAATTGTAGCACAAATGGTTTTATTATATTTAGTGCAATTATGTGCCAGTTGTGGACATGTTGTAAAGAGGGAAATTTTTACCATTTCTAAGTGGTTGCAATCACTCATCAAATTTCTCAACACTTCGATAAGTGTGTTAAAAAATATTTTGGAAGCCCTAGCATTAGTCTCTTTATTAGTTGAGGCTCAATATTGTGAGTAAAGATGAGAAAACAATTGAGAGGTCAGTGAAAAGGGAAGACATTGGTAAAGGATATACTTAGTTAAAGAGAATTCTGATAACCTTGTCAGATTTCATAAGTTAAAATACACAATGATGCATATTGGTTATCCTTCATATTTAATGTACTGTTGGTTCCTAAGTTCCCTTTTGTCTACAAAGGCAACCAAAGCACACTTTCAGAGTGGTGGCAAAGGCAAATTTTTATCTGCATTGGGAAATTACTGTGCAGGAGGCTAAAAGGTATTACAGCGCACTCTCTACTTCACATTATTCATTGATTTTTAGAAAGTTCACATAAAAAGTGAATCTGAAAAAGCCACTCTATTGTAAATGTACACCCTAGCTTTGCTTCCTGCGTGCTTACTTCCTCAGTTATCCAAGGCTTAGCTTTTGAATGGTTTCACTTCTGGTTGATCTCTGTAGCCAGTATTACACGGTTACCAGCTGTCAGTACAGAACTGCACCACTGTCCACCATGGTCCCACCATAGATCCTGTTTTCACTGGGACTGTATTGACAGCCCACAGAGCATAGGGCTAAGGTGGCTCCATGTGAAATTTTGAAAAAGAAAAACATCTTCAAAACCTTTTATGCAAAGCGAAGATAAAAACAAGCAAGAAATCTTTTTTTCCCCATGGTCTAGCAGTGAATCAGAGTCCTTGAGAGACTGTACTGTCTCCATCCTTGGAGCTTTTAAGATTCTGTCTGGATAAGCCTGGAGCAGTGTGATCTGACCCCATCGATGAGTGTGCTCTGGGCAGAGGCTGTGACTAGCAGAATTCCTTTCAATTGTAATTCTTGTCATCTATGTTTTCCAAGCAAATAAGATGGTTCCAGTTGAATCCATAATCCTTTCTTATCTAGTAGCATTTAAGTGTATTTGGTAAGGAAGAAATGTTTACCCCTGTTAGAAAAATGGTGAGTTCATCTGCTAAAGCTTCTTCAGTCTGATGTTGAGTACTATTATAATCTGCTTCATGGGAAGTTACTAATAAAAGGAAGAACTGCATGAAATGAGACATAACTGAGCTGGAAATACAGTATCCTATTCTGAGTAAATAAAAAAGAACAGTGTATTCTTGTGCATTTTAAACTAAAGACAGACTTTTTCTTTTCTCCTGAGTGTATTTGTCAGACAAGAGAAAGCATTCATTCATTGACCTTCACCTCACACCTTGAATGAAGAGTGTAATTTTAATACTGTAGTCCATGACTTCTCATAGCGTAGTGTTTAATTAGTTATATTATAAAACTTAGGTTGATGTAGAATGGTTGTTGCCTTGTTTCCTGGGGACTGTTCTTGCAGATTGTTTCCCTTGGTTTGGAGTGTGTACAGGCTGTCAATACAGCCCCAGTGAAAGCTGGATTTATGGTGGGACTGTGCTGGCTAGGACAGTGGTGCAGTTCTGTACTGATAGCTGGTAGCTGTGTAATACTGCCTACAGAGCTTTACCAGAATTCAATGGAAGAGCTAACTTACCAGTTGTCTGTTAGCCAGTCTGCACTAGCAAATGGTCTATGCTGTTATAAAACAAATAACAAAGTTTAGTTTTAAAGCCTTTAGTGCCTTAATATTCTGCAATTCATTAGTTCATATGATTTTATCAGTTTACAGAAATATGTTCACAGTATTGAATGGATAACTTGCAGAGAATCAGTGTTTCTCTGCATTACAAATAAACTGTCATCCCATCTTAAATGTCCTTACTGCTTTGCAGCTATGTAATTAAAGTAAAATACTTCCAGTGAGCACAGAAATAAAAAGAGTACAGAGCTGAGAAAGTTTTTAGGAATGATGCTGAAACTTCTAGACCAAGAAATACCAGTATATAGAGATTTTAGCAAGTACAAAATTCAGGAGAGCAAGGGGTAAAACTGTGGAAAGGGATGGCGGTTACTACTTCAGAAGAAGGATTGAGCACAAAAAATATGCAACAGAAAACTGTAAATAGCTATAAGAGTTTTAAAGGCAGTGGTGGTGTTGAAGTGTAACGGTGTGTGTTCCTGAGTGGTGATTGTCATCTCTCTAGTTTATGTCAGAGCAGGTAATAATCTCTTGCACATGCCAAAGTCTGCTACCCACAAACTTTTAGGGAATTTTTAGAGAAGGGACTTGCAAGAGAAGAATGAAGGCAGTGATCATTCAAGAACGCTGCCTTTGGAAACTTATGCTGAGGGATATGAAAAGGTTTTTGCAATCTCGGTTGCTACCCAGTCTTTAGGCATGACAGCAAACAGGAATGCAGCCAAACTGGAAATAAGAAAAATTTATCTGCTTGAGAATGTGTCTCTTTCCCAAGAGAGGCACTTCTCTTTGAGACACTTTTTTAAAGGAAGCTGAAATAAATCTACAAAAAAGAGGGAGGAGGCAGGAGAGATGTGATACTGAACAGCAAGTGCCTGATGTAGTTGAGAAATCCTGATGTAAAATGATACTTACAGATATATAAGGATTACTCAAGAGGGAGAAGGCAGATGAAAAAGAACACTTGACTAAGAAATTAGTCCTGTGAGAATCACCTGAGCAATTTTTATGTGAATATTGGACCATAGCTCGACAGAAATTGGTCTGAAATTGCATTTAAAAGTATATTTATCTCCCTCCTCTTTCACCGCAAAGAAAGGGTTTAGGATTTACAGTGATGAGGCTTTTTTTTTTTTTTCCCTAGTCTGTGATTTCCAGTGAAATGGTGGGGGATAACTGAACCTGCAATCAGATGTCCCATATGGTGCTGTATGTACCATATATTCAAATTTGGCTGGCTGAAGCTGGGTTCCTAACTCTGCATTTTCAGTGCAGATGATGTTAACATGACTTCATGAAAGGCAACAAGATTTCTGATAAGACTTTGCCTCTTACTCTGAGGCATCAGAAGTTACCTTAAAACCAGTGCACTAGACAGCACAGTCATAAAGAAGAAATTGAGAGGACGCAGCACTGCTGAAAATTATATTCCTCGTGTCCACAAGGTGCTTAACTTCAGATGGCAACTATCATCTGATAGTTTTATGCAAGGGGTAGCTTGCAGATCTGGAAATTATCACATGATCTAAAACCCTCTATAAACTGAAAAATGACTATGTCATTATTTGCACTTTGGCTTCATTAAACATACACACTCATTTGCTTGTTTAAAGGCAGATAAATAGTTGTGCTATGATGGATAATTATGAAACTGAACTGGAGAGACATTATGTAAACAGAGATGTGCATTACAGCAGAAAAGCAAAGCTTACTACAGCAGTAGCAAATGGGATATTTTTGTTCTTTGCAGTCTGATCTCTTGGAATAAAACATTTTAATGTTATGTTTTTAATATTATAACTGTCAGACTTCCTCGCAACTAATCTCAACCTTTTATTCTTTTTCAAGTATTTCTGAGTAGCATAAGGATGCATATGCCAATACTGTAAGTCATTAATTCCTTATTAACTGACACATAGGCAGATGTTTTTCATTCAGCTGTTTGAGTTTATCTTGATACATTTTTGTACATCCATTAAAACTTTTGGGGTTCATTTCAGTCTGATTTACCAGGGTGCCCTGACATAGTGGCTATACATCTTGAGTGCTGGATGAGGGATATGTTTAAACTGTTTATATTTCCCTTGGCCTAGATCTTAAAAGCTGAAAGCAGAAGCTGATCAATAGAAGTGCTTATCAAATTTTTAAAATATGCAGTGCTGTTTAAAAATATATGTTAACAATTTTATGTAAACTTTGTTTCTAAAATCAGGTATATTGCTGTGGGTTTATGAGCAAGGGTGTTCTTCCACCGTAGGAAGTGTTAGGCAGAATTGTTCAGTGTAGCTACATCTTCCTGGCCTCAACTTCTGTAAACTTCTTGTGCAGCCATTTATTTAACACACAGTGGCTGTTCAGAGACAGGGCCTGAGATTAGATTCCTAACTTTACAAAAGAAGGCTGAATTGACTCCAGCTTCTCTCTTAGATGAGACTCAAGAGAGTGCCAAAAATGAGAATGACAAATAACACATATCAAAGTTTCCTTCTGCTAACAATCAATTTTTGTCCCGTTTGATTTTTTTTTTTTCTCTCATGTTAATTGCAGAACAGTAGTAGATGGAAAAGTGTTACAAGAATCTGTGAATCAACAAGTGGACAAATGAAGCTGGCAATTTTAGATTAAAAGTTTCCATATGGAAAAAAAATTAAAGCCAAGAGGCACAGATTTAAATGAAGTGTTAATAAGAGCAGGCTCATTCCTAAGTTTCAGAATCATTCAGAATTTTGGACATCTGCAAACCAAATTAAACAGATTTTACTTTTCTTTTTTTCCAACCTGATGAATGGGAGCTGAGTGGAAAGGGGGATTTTTACTGTAACAGGCATTTCCCTCTTATTATTTTATCTTGTTTCCATTCTGTTTAATCCACTCTGGCTGTGTCATTCCATGCCTTATAATACACATGAAGTTATTTCATTTGTCATCAGCTTAGTCTTTTTCTTCTGTGGTCTGAGGAGAAAAAACATCTGGTTATATAATGAAAAGAGGAGCAGAAAATTACAAAATATTTCATTTAAATTCATTGTTCTTTCTCAAGTTGGTGTATTCCTATCAGTTTGTCATTTTAAGGTGTGCTCTGTAAGGTGTGTGTGTAATAAAACTCAAACAAGCAAGGAATATCTAGCAGCAGTGTTTCAGTGGAGGTGTGCAGGGAAACCCTAGAACTAAATGGGTTTCAAACTGAAGGGTGCAAACAGGACTTTGAGCCGAGCCTGAGTGCCACAGAAGGGATGGTTTGAAAGACTGAGCAGAAGAGTAATGTTCTGTCAGTCCATGATGCTACCCAGAGACCCACTTCAGGATGGGCTGCCTTTCTGTGTACTCACTTGAGATGTCTGTCTCTTGGAGTGAAATGACACGTAAGAGATACGTAGCTCTAGTGTGTTGGCACTGTGTTAACTCTATCTGACAAATCATGCTTTGGCTTTGCAAGGTGCTGAATGGGTTTTTTAGGTAGAATTTAACATGTCTGGAGTTACTTGTTACAACAATTCAGTGTTGAGTATGACTACTTTTTTAAAATGTAGGCTACAATTCAGAAACTTAAATATCAAAACTGCAGAAAGGCACAAGTTAGATGGCTACTATTGATTTCACAGAACCAGAGAATGGTTGAGGTTGGAAGGGACCTCTACAGGTTATCTGGTCTGACACATCCCAGCTCAAACAGGGACATGGAGAGCCAGTTGCACAGGACCATGTCAGGTAGCTTTTGAATGTCTCCAAGAATGGAGACCCCACAACCTTCCTGGGCAACCTGTGGCAGTGCTTGGTCAAGCTTACAAGAGGAAAGTTTTTCTTGATGTTCAGAGAGGACCTCCTGTGTTTCACCTGGTGCCCGTTGCCTCTAGTCCTGTCACTGGGTACCACAAGAAAGAGCCTGGCTGTCCTCTTTACAGCCTCCTTTCAGGTATTTGTACACAGTGATAAGGATAACATTTTCAACTGCAAGTATTGGGGCAAACAGGCTTGTTTTATGCCTTTCATATGATACTTAGTGGCTTTTTAATACATTCAGTGAGCATGTAAAATTGCTGAAATTTTCAGCTGCATTTTTTCTTTCCTTTCAGATAGTAAATCTTATAGAAGAAACTGGACACTTCCATATCACAAACACAACCTTTGACTTTGACCTTTGCTCACTGGACAAAACCACAGTCCGTAAACTACAGAGTTACCTGGAAACATCTGGAACCTCCTGAGGATTCAGCATCTGGCTGCATCAACAACTGTTCTTTAAGTGAAACATTCAGAATAATGCAACCAAAATGGGGAGAAAAAACAAAACAACTCTCTTTAGCTTTATTTTTTCTTAAAGCCAGTCATCATCTCTTGATAAGGGAGAGGAAAAGTGACAAGACTCAGAGGACTGTTCTTCTCAAGAAGAAAATACTCTGGAAGAGAATGCCTGGATAGCCTTGAAAAACAAACACACAAAAACAAAAATACTCAGTCTTAATGAATGTGTATGATAATCATGTATCTCTCTCTGTGGTGTTGAAGTCCACAAGGTGAATGCATGTTCAGCACACTGCCTTATTACATAACTGATCTATTTATTATTGCATACATGTATTCTAAGGTCAGTAAGTCATTGAGTGGCACTACCAGATGTTGCAAGTAGAGGGGTCCCATGTGTGCCCTTTTGATGCAGTACTATCACAAGCCTAGTAACCTTATTCATGTTAAAATGCCACTTCTTGCTATCTTTCTCTAGTCAAAACACTACAGTCTTGTTCCAATTCTGCAGTTGCAGGAAACAAGATACAAAGTCGGAGACCAAAGAGTGGTCCTATATTTTGTTTCCCGTCTGCCACAGTGGGTTGGACCACAGCAGACTGGACCACAGGTCCTTGGTTCTATCCATTTATTGATCTTGACCATGGCAGAAAATACACCAAGTAGGACCATATGACTTGCTGTCCAGCCTTAGTGAGTAAACCAGTAGGATTTTTAACAAAAAATATTATGTATACTGTCCTGAATCCAGCATCTCTTGCAGTCTACATTCTTGTGTCTGTTTTAATGTTATAAAATTAAATATGTATAAGAGTGAAGATGTTCTGCAGGATCATCATAAAAGAAGAAATACTGGTCCTGTCTTCTAAGGAAATGTTGTAGAAAATTCTTAATTTGGAGCTATTTATTACTTTGAGTTTCAACACTCCTCCGCTGCCAGTGTGTGATTCACTTTCACCATAAAACTATGTGCATAACATTTTTGTTTTTTCATATAGTACATGGTCTGCTTAGTTTGTTTGGGGATTTTGTTTCTGGTTTTGTTGGATTTTTTACAACTGCTAAATTAAAACTCTTTATTTGAAAAGAAAAAAAAAGTTGTTATACAGTTACACATTGGAATAAATACATATATGATATATTTTATATATATGTGTGTATATATACACATATGCATGCACCTGTGTGTATATATATGCACACATGCATATGTGCTTTTTACACTTTCCAGATTTTGGTATCTGTTCAATAACCTGCTTGTGTTTCCAGAAGGATTTCTTGCCTATAAAAATGAGTATTCTTTCATACCATCTGTTATTCCTTAAAATCAGTATCCTTGTTTATGTATGATCAAATGAGGGGATTTGTACTCAGTTTCATATCAAAACTCCATGCTGTCATGTTACTGATGATTTCTTGATGAAATCATCACCCTTCTATTAGAAGTTCAAATCCCTTAATCAGAAGAGAAAAGAATTTAAAAAATACTTCTGGATGCAGAGGTTTATTCAGGTTTACCAGCCTTAAAAAATGTATCTTGTTTCTGGACAGGCCAGTATGTCATGTGTATGCTTATATGCCACATGTAGTCTGTATGTGTACAGCTGAACAGTAGATTCCGTATGACTTACTGTTTCATGCACACAGTTTGTGCAGCACTGTAAAACTGAATTTCTATTGGGGTTATTTCTTATTCAGATGGTAAATCTTAGTACTGTTTCTTTAAGTCCAAAGAAAATTTTACACTTTACTCGTTTTGAGAGGGTGGGATATGAACTGGGTTGGGGGGCTTTTTTTCTATTTAAAATGTTTGACCACACTCCATAAGAAGTCCTTCTCAGGCTTCCCAAGAATAAGTGTACTTTTTCAGTAATGTTATGACTCTTTTTGACGATTGGCATGAAGCATACTTGAAGCGTTATGTTTTTCTTTTAAGTCCATGACTTAATGTGCAATTGGGGGGCGGGGGCAGTGGGAGTGTAATTTTAATGTTACTTTTGACATAAAGCAAGTGATGGTGAGGAGGGGAAAGGGGTGCATGTTAAGGGGATAAACTTCAATTTTTATTGATTATTTTATATGAAAACGTTTGGAAATCTAAAAGTAACCTTAAAAGCTTTTGGTCTACTAGTGTGTGTTCAACTTCCTATCTTTTAGTTAAACTAGGTACGTAGGGAATTTTGTCAATTTTGCCTTTTCTAACTAAGTTTTGTGGTAAAAACTCACTGAGTTTCAAGAGGGGGATACTTCTAGTATGACTATTGCACTGTTTTGTTAGAAATGGTAAAATGAATAATTTTGCCATTAAAATACCAGATAAGCTTTATAATACACTGAGAGCAGGGGTGGAAGAAAACAACAAATAGGAGAACAGGCATAAAAGGGAGATGGCGGCAATTACAGTATCAAGTTAGTGCTGAATTTCATGCAAATTGTGGATCATCCTTAAAGTCTTAAGTTTTCTAATTCAATGGGAGACAGAAGAAAATAGACTGTAGTTGTGTGTGTGTGTGTGTGTGCATATGTTGACTTTTTCAGAAAACTCTGATAGAATAAGAGTTACTAAGTGTTTATCTAAATTTTAAAAAATTAGCTATTTTCATCTAATTTTGTATGCAGAAACTAAATAAATCCTTCTTCACTTAATTTCAGACATTCATATTTCTTTTAAATAAAAAGTAGTAAGATACCCTTCCAAGTCTTTAACGTATATGAGCATTGATCTTTGGGATGGGTTAAAGTGTTTTGGCAATAAATGTTTTGGAGTTTTACTTAACATCAAGCTGTTTAAAACAAAGTTATATATGGGAATTTTGATTATTTCATTGAGGTGACCAGACACAGGTTAGCAGTAAGTTGCAAGAACTAAAAAATAATTTTCAGCATAAGTGAGTCACTGTTACTAGAACAGTAGTTGTAGACAATAGTAAGGACAGTTCTCATCTTGCTACTAACTTTTCACCTCAGAAAAAGGGTGTCCAATTGAGTAGACAAATTTTAGTATATTTTTAGACATTTGAATCCACTGAGATTCTTTACAAAAATTTCAATGTCGTCTAGATTTGAAGGCCATCTTAGTCCGTGCTGAGGAGGAGGAAGGGGCTTACACTGAAGTGAAGAGAGTCTTCCAAAGTACAACAAAATCCTTGCTCAGTCTTCAGCCTTTAGGTTCTAAGAAATGGTTGATTATTTCTATCTCTCTTCTTTTCCTTGGTTGGGTTTTTTTAGCTTAAGTCTATGCTTTCAATTTCAGAAGCAGAGTATGCACAGTACAGTGCTTTTGGAGAGCCAGTATATTTCTATTCAAGTTTCTTTTAGTCTGGGGGAAGGAAATTGCAAGTTCTTGGGTTTTGCCAGACCCATTGTCCTTCTTTCCCATTCTCACAGTGAAATAAAATATGTCCACAGTCTGGTTTGGGTCCTTGGTCCTTACTTGGTAAGTATCATCTTGTTTTCTTAGAAGCTATACTAGTGTTTTGGGGTGTATTGACGAACCCATTGATCTCAAGCCCCATTAGTTAGTCTGCAAAATTAATGGGAAAGCTGTAGAATGGTCTGAAGAGAAAACTGCCCTCTTCAGTTGTTGTATGCATTACCTTACTCAGAAACTGCTCTGATGGTAGGATGTCTGATTTGCTTCATACCATCTTTGTTCATACACATCTTATCTTCTATCCCTTGTAGTTTAACAACAGTGGATCTTTTAGCAAATTCTTGTTTCAGTCAGAGGGACTTGTTATTTTTGTGTTTGCTTGATGCTCCATTGATTTGCAGAGCTTGCTGTAGTGCAGTACACTGAAATTGAGGCTTACAGTGAAAATTTTGTCAGACTTTCAGCCATATCAGGAGCTGGCAGGAACTGCAAACGTAAGCAGTGCAAAACACGTTCTGAAGTTTAACAAGTACAAAGCATGTATTTTTATGAGCCTCAATAGTTTTCTTAATTGTTAAGAAGTATACAGTAAAATGTAGTGTACAGCAGGAAGCTATTCTGTATACTGTATGAAGAAGATTTACTGTTGGGCATAAAAGGCTTACGAAGATAGAAACTAAAACTCATATGCCTACAGTGCTTTTGTGTGTGCTTGGGTGTTGATCAGTGCATTAATACAGCTAAACTGATGACATTTATAAAGCTGGCTCTGTGTCTGAGTGAGCAGGTAAATTAACATCAAAGCACAGTCACATAAGGACCTTGCATTTACCTGAGCAGCAAGAAATGCCACTGTGACTAGACAGGAGAGAGAAGCAAGAACAATCCCCTTTGGCATGGTGGGGGGAACTAAAAATAAAAATTAAAAAAGGGTAAAGAAGAGATTCCTTTGTAGTTGGATGTGGTTCCTTACATTAATATAGAGAATACAGTTTGCCAGTCAGCAGTTCTGTCTGCTGTGAGACAGGGTGACAGCTTGCAGAGTGGCAGCTTCTTTGATTCACTGCTGTTACAATTGTGTGGTTGCTGAGTTGATGAGAGAGAGATGTATTGCAGCATTGTACGAAAATCTAAGTTGTTTTATGGTTTGATATGCTAATGTCTGTGAACATTTGTTTGAATATTGCATTTTATATATATTCTATGTTTTACCTCAGCCAGACTGATTCTACTGCACAGTGATTATCTTGAATTTTTCATTCTTCGTTTACTTTTAATTTTTCCAGTCTGGAAATTTGAGCAAAGTCAAATGTAGGTCTGTGAATACAGCATAAGATGTATTTTCATCATTATTCAGTATAATTCTGACTGGAAGTAACCCTTTCCTGAATACTGCATCAAATGGGTCATGCATTTTCCTATGTTCTTTCAGAGACCTGATGCTATAAAGCTGGAATTTCCATTAGTAAATTTTACCCTTCTCATCACAGTGAGGAATACATGATCACCTTTTATCATTGGTCACAGGGAGACAGAATTCATGGTCTGGGTGCTGTTTAGGAAACAGTAGGTTTGTGAAGCTGTCAGTTACATCCTTTTAGTAAGAACCTAGAAATAAAGCCTATCCCTTTAGGGGATGAAAAGAAGGGGAGGAAAAATCTGCTAAAAATATTTTCACTCTGATAATGGTTATTTTTTCCAACAGTTATATTCCCCTTTCAATTCCTTAAGCATCTAATGGCCACTAGAGAGACTACATACAAACCATTAAGGAATCAAAGGTATTGAAAAGATAAAACAAGTTGTATTAAAAGCTTGGCTGCACAACTGGTAAGGTCATAATGCTGATACTGCTTTCAGTGCAGGGCAGACATTCCTAGCACATGTGGTTTGTGTACCCACCTCTGAGTGGGTGGTCTAGAAAACAATGCAAAATGTGGCAGGAGGGCTTAGTTTTTGAGCTGTGCAGAGGAGACATTCAGGATAGGCTCACTCAGCACCACCCAGGCTATGCAAGATAAAACAGTTTTCTTTCACCTTTCATGAGCTGCTAAGTTTTTGCTTTGCCTGTTCATCTAAATATTTGAATTCTTTTTTGCAACTTTCTTACTCCTTGCTCAAGTTTCATGCTTGCTTGAGACCTGGTTAGATTTGAGGTGGAGTTATTTTGATGTGGCTCTTATTTTCTTTGGGCATGGCGTGAGGAGATAGAAGTGGAACGTTGTAGTGACTTATTTTTTGTTTTTATTTTC